TTTTTTTTTTTTTTTGTCTTTTTTTCGTGTCCGGCAACGGATCGCAACCCTCAGTGTCGCGCCCGCACCTTGCTCAGCCAGTGAGCGGGAACCGGTCTGTATGTGGGATCTGAACCCTCGGCGGGAGCGCCAACACACTCCCAAGCGGCGCACTGTAGCAGTGCGCCACCAGGCCGGCCCACTCTATTTTGTATTTTTAACAGTACTTTTTTCCTGATATTTGAACAAGGGGACCTACATTTTCACTTTTCACTGGGCCCTGCAATTATGGTGTTGGTCTTAGTGATAGGAAAGAGAAAAGGGAACAGTATAGGGAGCTAAATTTTAAGTTCCAGCAAATGCTGGGATGGAGTTTGGTGTGCAGCTTATAGAGAAGGGATCGACACTTGTGGAAGGAAGGGGAAGGACACAGGATTTGGCAGAGAGAGAGGTCAAACTGTGATGCAGGCCTGACAAATTCTCAGCCAGTCCCAAGTAAAATAGCCCAGCCTTTGTGCACCTTGCTCAGGCAGTCCTTGGACATGGGCACCTCCTGGAAGGGTGTGCTCTTGGGAGAGACAGCTCTCTGCAGGTGAGGGAGACCCTGAGGACACTGCCAGCCTCAGGCTGCCTGCTGACTGCACACCCTGACCCTGAGCTGTCTGAGTGGCTCATCTCTGTGTTCACCACAGTCCTGTTTTTGTTCCGCATGCTGAGCGCTGTGTGTAATTACCTATGTCAAAGGGATGTAAAAAGTACTCCTTCTTTACCCAGTGATCTAAGAAGCCAGACAACATGCTGCAGTAGGTCTGATGCTAGGTTAATAATTAATCAGAGCTTGGAGTACTGAAACACAGTCATACGCAACAATACGGTAGCTGATTGTGTGAATTTAAATTGAATGAAATTATTGTAGAACTTTTTAAAAAGCATGAACCAACTACAACAGTCTTAAACTTATTTTTATTCAGTGCAACAACCACCACCACCTTATGATGTTTCTTAACATCGTAAAGATTGCTAGTCTAGTACTAAAAAGTCTATTATTTTCTCTTAATCACTAGGCCTTCAATTTAAGTGAGTAATGATTTATTGGATATAGCCTCATTATCAAAATAGTTTAGTTATCCTTAGCCCAGGATTTCTCAGTGGGAGCACTATTGAGCACTATTTTGATAATTCTTTGTTGTGGGAGGTTGTCCTGTGTATTGTAGAAAGTTTAGCAGCATCCCTGGCCCCTACCCAAAACATCTCCAGACATTGCTAAATGTCCCCTGGAGACCAAAATCAGCCTGGTTGAAAACCATTGACCTAATAAATTGCCAATTTCTACTTATTCTACCTCATACATATCTCTCAAATTCATATACATATCTCCACCCCCTTATCAGTTGCAATTCACGCCAGCACCTTTCTCTTGGACTATAGCCAGAACCCTCCTAACTGATGCAGAATTCACACTAGGTTGCCTTCAGTATGTTCTATACTCAGTGGTTGAAGGGACCTTACCAGAATACAAATCAGATCCTGATGCTTCAAACTTTCTAACCCAATATGTGAGACTCTGCATAAGCTGGCCCTTCTTAGTGTCTCTACTTTCTGTCCATCTGTTGGGTTCTTCACTGCAGCCATACTTGACTTCTACTTCTTTCAACATGCCTTGCATGCTTTTTCACACCTCTGAGCCTGACATTTTTTTCTTTTCTAGGAGTTGCTCCCAGCCTCTCTCATTCTTTTAGTCTCAAAATAATAATCCACTCCTCCAGGAAGGCTTCTCTGACTGCTCCTAACTACATCGAAGTTTGGGCTTGATACTTCTTTGATGTGTTTCCACCACATGCCAGACATTTACTACACTGTATGCATTTATTTGTATTCTCCATGAACCTGTTGCTCTGTGACAACAAAGACCATGTTTGTTTTATCTCATTCTGAATCCCAAATATCCAGTACAGTATCTGTCATGTTCTGGGTGCTCATAAATATTGTTCAAGGCAAAGAAAGAGGAAAGGAAAGATGGAAGGAAAGAAGAAAGACAAGAAAGAAGGAAGGAAGGTAAGGAGGAGTGAAGGGAGGGAAGGGTTAGAGTTGGTAGAGGAAGTGACTGGAGGATAAGGAAGTGAAAATGGTTGAGTAACAACCTCAAGAACTGTAATGAGAAAGGGATGAAGAAGACTGGATGGCAGCTACATAAGGACATGTGGCTAGGCGAGGTAAACTAGGGACGTGAAGAATGTGAGTATGTTATAGGCTGAGAGAAAAAAAGCTGGAGATGTAGGAACACAGGCTATCGGAGAGAAAAGGGTCCCAGATGATGACAAAGTATTTGGGAATTAGAAATCATAATCTCTTCTTTTCTCTTTACCAAATCATTTTGGGGGAACGTAATATTTGTGTGACTATGTTTGTCTCTTGGGACTTTTCTTTTTAATCTTGCTTTGTTGTTTTCTGCTTGCTGCTTTTCTTAACTGACTTGACTGGTCATATCAGTTAAACTTTAGGTATGTGAAGATCAAAACCTACACCTGAGATTCTTGTCTAAACATGTGAGGAGCCTTGCCAGAGGTAAAATTTTTAATAACCACATACATACATACTTCTGAATGTTTGTGACTTTCATGAAGTACGGGAAGATTATTGTATCGTTCTTGTCTAAACATGTGAGGAGCCTTGCCAGAGGTAAAATTTTTAATAACCACATACATACTTCTGAATGTTTGTGACTTTCATGAAGTACGGGAAGATTATTGTATCACTTATCTGTTCTCAAAAGGGAAAAGAACCACAGAACCTTTCAAATGGTAAAGTTTGATGATTTATGCCTTCTAAACACAAGTACAATCTTAAAGAAATCAAATTTTATTGGGAGTACATGCACATCTCACTCTGGAGATTACTTTTGTTATTTTTGTTGTTCTATGTGATATTTGTTCAATTACAGAGGTCAGGAGAGCAAGATTCTAATCACCGGGTAACTGAGAGTTTTTGACAAAGGTTCTTAATCTCTCAGGGTCTCGGTTTTGTCATCTATAAAATAAACATTTTAGTAAGCATGACTATATCAATCAGAATGGGCTGAATGATGATGCAGCAGTAAACAATTCCTGATAGCCCTCAGGGTTTGATAGGCTCTGTTCATAAGAATGTGGAAGCAAGATATACCCCAAGTGTCATCTGTTATGAAATGACATTCTCAAAGATACGTTCTCGCAAGGGGCCAACATGCTTGCTGTCTCAATCTTGCCACTCTGCTGTAAATTTTTTCTGTTTCCTGTACAGTTGGGTGCTGAGAACATCCGGCACTTGGTAAAGATTTTTCTCTGGTTGATGAAATTATCCACTAAATCAATGCAGGAGTTAATCCATTGGGCAGTGTAGCCTAGTGGTTAAAACTACTGCCACTTACTAACCATGGACCATGGACAAGTTATTCACTCTCTGTGTGTTATGAAAATTAAATGATCTAATCAAAGAAAAATGCCTGAAAGAATGCCCACAGGCACAAAGCAAGTGCTCAGCTAAAGTTAGCAGTGATTTACAGGAATTCAACTA